GCCGGCCCGGGCCCGGCGACGGGGTCACGCAGCTGGTGACCGTGTAGTCCGGTTCGGAGGGGTAGTTACCGAACGGGAACCGACCCTCGAGGGCTCGTGGGGAGCTAGGAAATGGTGAGTGTGTGGGGCTGGGTGTCCCAAGACGGGAGGGAGGAGAGGAGGGTCCGGCTGCGGGAGTCCGAGGCCTGGAGCAGCCTGCACGCGGGGGGCCGGGCTGCCCGCAGGACCCCGGGTACCCGTCCCTCCCCGGCACTGCCCGCGGTGACTCGGCCCCCAGCCTCTTCTGGTGGCCCGTATGTGCAGCTCTGGGTCTCCCAAGATTTTACAGTGATCACAGGAGGGATCATCAGGGGACAAACTACAAATTAAATTACAGGCTACCAAATAGAATAATAAAGTATATAAATTTTTTTTAAATACTTTATTGTTAAAAAATGTTAACCATCATCTGACAAGGCAGGGTTGCCACAAATCTTTGATTTGGGGTGGGAGAGAGCAATACTTGCAAAGCCCAATAAGGAGAACCACAACTAAAACAAGGAATGCCAGTTAAATATATAGACTTGATACCTCTATCAAATTTCTCCTTATGCTATATAATCCTCTATTTACTTGTCTGATTCTCCCAACCAGACTGTCAGTTACTTGAGGTCAGGGACTGTCTATCACACCTTGAATGCCTATTACAGAGAGCCTGGTGCATGGTATATGCTTAATAAATATACATTAAGTAATTAATTAAAACAAATTCATTTGCCTTGGCATTACTAATTCATCACTGTTTAGACTGTTTCAGTGTGTTAAATGAAGATGGTAAAAATATCATAAAAGATTATTGAGAATTAAGAAAAATTCATTTATTCATTCTACATACATTCATCAAGAGCATCAAGTACCAAACAAGAAACTAGCACTGTAGGAGTATAAACAAGAGCAAGGTGGCTCTGCCTTTACGAGGTCTGCAATCTAATGGAGGCCAGTGAATGAATGAATGAATAAAAGTGTAAAAATTAGAAATATAATTACATATGTATTTAGTTATTTTTAATGTGTACATTTGTCCATGTATGTGTGTATATGTCTGTGTCCAGCTCACTGCTCAAAATAAAGAGGGACTAACAACTATTAAACCATCTTCTTTCCATAAAGAAACATTCTCTGTATAAGAAAAGAATACCAAGCATACCAAATTCAGCAGCGTATTAAAATAGATTGTATACCATGAATAAATGGGAGTTATTCCTGAAATGCAAGGATGGCTCAGCATTTGGAAATCAATTAGTGTGATAAATCACATTAACAGAATGAAGGGAAAATA